TTGATTATAAAATGGAATTAGGATGTAAAATTTCATGATTTTTAAAATTATTTTATTTACAAATTGGTGCATCAATGAAAAATAAAAATTAAAATATTAAAAAACTAGGTTCAAAGTTCTACAAAATAAAAAGTGGCAAGAATATTTTATTTTATTAAATAATCAAAGAAAATACACAAAAAACAAACGTTATCGAAAGGATATAGAAAATAAAATTGTAATCAAATTGGAGACGGAATCTGTATGTGCTAAGCTGAGTTTGATGGGGTGTCATATAAGCATCTTATTAGAAGTTTTTTTTGAGGACATGGATAGAATTACTCCCTCCGTTCCAGTAAACCCTTCCCCTTTCGTTTTTTTTTTGAATTCCTTAAAACACTTCCACTTTCTATTAAAAAACCACTTTTATCCTTACTTTTTCATACCCTACCTATCACATCATACTTTTTCCCTAATAAACAAACTATCACATCTTACTTTTACTCATCACATCAGGGGCAAAATTGGAAAGTCAACCCAAATTACATTTTCCTTATTTTTGCCAAAAGTCAAAAGTGGAAGTGTTTAAAGGAACGGAGGGAGTATTAAAATATACTACCTCCGTCCCAGAGTATTTGTCCACTTTCATGTTTACACACCATCCAATACACTTCTTTAATCCATTTTATCTTGTAATTTGTATATTAAAAAATTATAGAAATTATATATTAATAATCTATATGTTAAGACAAATCAAACAAGATCACACATGACTATATTTAAGCTTACATATTGAGAAAATTTGATGAGTCAAAGTGTTTAGATGAACAGTTCCAAAAGTCAAAACTGGACAAATACTCCGGGACGGAGGGAGTAAGTAAAACATAAGGTAACAATCAAAATATGACTCATGTTTTTATTATCAAAATAAGACAAAAAATCATTTTTACAAAACTACTGTGCCGATTCATCAAAAACAAATCAATATTTCACATTTCTTGCCGTAATGTCATATGAAATATTTGCAATAAATAGCACTAAAACTTAAGTCATTCCCTAAATAGCACTTAAACTGTTTTATTTTCTAAATAGTACTTAATAATGTTCATAATGTCCTGTGATGGCGAATATTTACTTGAATAATGACTAATGCAAAGTGCTACATTGGGAAGAAAACACATGTGGTGCTATTTAGAAAAAGTCATTATGGTTTAGTGCTATTTAAGTAAATTTCTCATGTCATATTGTTACTATGCTCTGATTCATCAAAAACAAATCAATATTATTTCACATTTCTTGCCGTAATGTCATAGTGTTACTATACAATATTTGTCGAAACTACAATGCAAAAGTTGATAATACATGTGAACAATGGTGGATCCTAACTCTCAAGGAAGTGGTGTCAATAGTGAAGAAGATAGAACCTCACAAGTGGACTGCGGGGGGCACATTAAGAGAGTTCGAGGAAGCGGCCCCAAAAATTTTATTACAAACACAATAAACAATGATAAAGAAAGAATAAATTTGATCTTAAATATTCAAATAGTTTAAATAATATAATTAAATGGTATTATTATTAATTATATAGAAGAAATTAAAAAAAGTACATTATGCCTAATAATGTCAGTGGTGTCAGTCCGCTCATGCATATAGACAAATATGACACTGCATAATGCCAAACATGTCGATGTGTAATGTTAAAAATATAATGAAATATCAACAATTTGAGTTACAAACATACAATATCACATTTGTATGACACATCAAATTTAAAAAAAATATGATAATAAAAAATTACTCCGTATTTAAGAAGAGCGCTAATTGTTTCCATTTAACTTCATTATATTTCCGTTAATGCTCACGATCTTGACAATCACAATAATCGATATTTTAATCACGTTTTTTATACAATAAAATTTATGAGGGTGAAGGATTCAATCTATAATGAAACCATATAATGCAATAATCTTATAGTCATAACAAAAGTTTTAAAACCAATGTTGAATGGAGTATACACGGTACCCTATAAATGCACCTTCTCCAAGTATGAAGAAGAGATTAAACTTTGAGTATGTTTTTCACTTGATATTAATTCATTAGCTTAATATACTTGCGACCCACTCTCATAATCGAGAATATATATCGTATACTGGATTCTACGTAAAGCTACTAGGTGCACCCGGTAAATATTCATTTTGAATCAATAGAATGTCCATTTTGAATCAATAGAATGTTCATTTTCATCCGTAGTGTTCATTCTGAAATCTACTCAGCATATTGCTATGGGGCTCGTTCATTCTTAAATAATGTAGTATGTATTTTGAAACATATTCATCTAGAAACATTTTTTTATTACAAATTTACAATAATATTTAAGCAAAATGTACATTCGATTATACCGTATAATTTACCGTCATGACCCGATGAATTAAAAGCTCATCAGTTATTTTATCCCCATTTTATAAATTCTAAACATTTTGAGAGTGGGCAGAAATATTTGTGAAGCATTTAAAATTTAAAAGAAAAATGGTGTCTTTCTTTAATGACACCGAAATGTTTTCAACATTGTGCACAATTCCGTAAATAGTTTTGTCATTTTTGTATGGAAAAAAAAATATAGAGTAAATTATATAAAAGGTCCCCAATTATAGATCGTTTTACATATTTAGTCCCTACATATTAAATATTACTAATTTAGTCCCCAATTATTATATTTATTTCCACGAATGGTCCTTTGTTAACATTTCCGTTAAGAACGTGGATAAAATTGTATATTCATACTTCTCTCTCTCCTCAATTAAGCTTTTCTTCATCTTCTCATACTCTTTCCCAAACTCGTCGCTGAGTTTGAAGCTCTTAATCCCAAAATTTAAATGATCGTTCCTCCAGTTAGACAAACAATTGAGAGAAGAGTGATGATTTTGGTTTAGGGTTCAAAGCTAGAAACTCCGCGACGGGTTTGAGAAAGGAGTACAAGGGAGGAGAAAGCTTAATTGAAGAGAGAAAGGAGTGTGAATTTATAATTTTATCCACGTTTTAATGAAAATGTTAACAAAAGACCATCCGTAGAAATAAATATAATAATTGGGGACCAAATTAGTAATATTTGATATGTAGGGACTAAATATGTAAAACGACAACTGGAACCTTTTATGGAATTTATTCAAAAATATAAAAAAGAGTTTTGTGGCATTTTTAGCTACACTACAATTTTGCATGGGTCGACAGGCTGGGAAATGGTGTCTGGCTGTCTGGGTATGGGTGGACACTAACGTGCGCCGCTGTGTGTTTTTGGTAGGATTCAAATTTTTCTCGTCCCCAATTAAATTGCTTGTTTAGAATTTATAGAGTCAAACTTTATTTACTTTTTTCTAATTTAATTAGAAATTTTATAAAATAGTATAATCATGTCACCACTAGTTTTGTAGATCTTTTGAATTTTTATTTTTAAATTTCACATCATTTTTTATATAAATGATTAGTAAATAACTTCAATCAAACATCTGTCAAAGAGAGACCACAACTGATGTCTAGTGTGTGGTTTCCTGGTTATACCACAGTGGGTAAAAATGTGCATTCAATGCTCACTGTTTCTTTGTCTTTTTGACATGCCTATATCACCCAACCCAAGATTCATTAATTGAGAACAACAAGATTCTCTCTGTTTTTTCACTGCCAAGTTTATGGAGCAACTGTATATTTACTGTCTTTGCATTAGAGCAAAAGGGCAACATTAAAGACTGATACTGCACTTGGGAAGTTTCCATGGAGAGCAAATCCCTTGTCCCAAAAATGTTATCCGTCCCAAAATCGTTTGCTGCCACATAGCACAACAATGAAGCGTCGCCACGTGTTTGTGCTATGTGACAGCATTCGTGGGGCGGCACAATTTCACTTGTCTGAAACTACGTGAAAAATGAATGAAAAGATTAAACAAAAACCAAAGAAGTAGGAGTTTTTGTATGGACCAGCTCAGAGACCTTAATGGGTCTGTTTTGGTTGTATTTCCACACAATTCATTCATTCATTCATGTCAACCAAAGGACCCTTAAATGCCCTAACAGTTGGAGTACATAGTACTAACAAGGGAGCCTGCAGGGAGGGTAAGCTGAGGAATTAATGGATGAGGATAATGAATGATGGGAGAAACTCAGACACCTTTAAGCTTACACATGGCCACATGGGAATGAAAGGAGGGAGCCAGTCATTTTTTTTCTGCTATGTAGTTGTCATCTAAACAAGAAAATTGTACTCATACAAGACGAAGTCAAAAACGTGGAAACATCATTTTTTTCCAAATTTTATAAAGATTTCGGTGTCGCGACGTGTTCAAGAAACGACACTTATTTGAAAAAATCGTGCCAAAGTAGGTTGTCATCTCCAACTCCATGCATTTGCTTCTGCATAAATACCTATTTTGTGTTTCCACCAGCAACTACTATGATGCATCAACTGTGGGTTGTTTTTATTCCATTAAATGTAGGTTCTTATGAGACAGATACCCTAACAATTTGAGGGTGAATTGATCGATTGCAGGCAAATGGATCATCAACGAGCGTTGGTCGTCGTGGGGTAGACTTGGACTGGGATTCAGGGCCGAAGAGCACGAAGTTGATGGTGGAGGTTGCAGAGGAAATGCTGAAACAGAAGAATGTGGAATCAGTCATGTTTGGTGGCAAGATTGTTGGAGAAGAGAGCAATATGGAGAAACTGGACTGGTTTGCTGCACAACTTGTCCAAGAGCATCTNACCCCCCCCCCACTCCCCCACCCCCCACCCCGCGCGGCCCGAATCATAATTAGTGAAGAGATTATGAAAAATCATGTAAACTTAGCACCCGGTACGTGATATTTGTAGCGGGATATTAGTACGCATTTCCATCCAACTAATAACAAAACATTGAATTTGGATCCGCAAGAACGTATAGTGACGAGTGATTATGTGTTATAAAGCATACCATCCGAATTCCAACTATTTAAAGAAATGCATAAATGGTCTCTCACTTTTAAATCAACCAAGATCACACGCGTCTACTTTTCTTAATAACGGTCAAAGTATCGAGAAATACGTACAGAGTAGTACTATATAAGATGAAATGAGTGTATTTGATCGATGAAATAACGATTTACATGAAGTACAAGCAATTTATTCAAAAGAATAAATTGTCCTTGGTTTATGCAACTAACTACTGTCAAAACAAGTGTGCCAAATAAAATAAAAATCATAAACTGGCCGATTGAAGGCGTTATTATTCTTCTCAAAAGCTAAACAACACACTTCAGGAATCTATCAAACGCATACATTTTGTTTATAAGCAAAAAACACGCGGCACGCTGGCACGAAAGCGTTTGGGAACCAAGACGCTTTCAAAGAGAAACATTGGCTGGCTCTGGATTTCGACTCAAGGGTTCTTGTAACTCTGTGTTGATTGGGAACAACATGCACTGAGCATATTGCGCCATCAATTGGTCAACCAGCACCAGTGCTACCATAGCTTCCACCATTGGAACAGCTGCAAATACATACACATTGAATGGAACATGGAATCACTCTCTCTGTCTCTCTCATCAATTCGCATACACTTTGCGAAAACAGACACTCAAAAATAAACAAGAATTGGTTAGGAACGAACCTCGAGGAACTACACAAGGATCGTGCCGGCCACGTGCAATGAGCTCAGTTTCGTGCCCGTCTCTTGTCACTGTATTTTGCTTCCTCTGGGTATCACAAAAACAGCGTGTAAAAACCAACCTTTTATTTTTACTTCGTGAAAGTGTAAAGCTCGGGGAAATGTTACAAGAAAGGAACATGGAAAGTGGAAAGAGGTATAGAATAGTAAGCAAGTGGAAATGCCATTGGGTTGATAATACAAACTTGAGTAATTGACTAGTATGACTACGGTCGGTTCATTTTAGAAGAGAGGGCAAAATAAATACTCCATCATTCACATGAATTTCAAAGAAGATGCCTATTGCATTAATATTTTTGTTCACGACTAAAAAACTGATAAAACTCTTGGGGGTTGAACAGTCAACTAGTAAATCGCTACTACCATGTATTCAGCAATGAAAATAGGACAGAAGAGGAAAACATACTGAAATTGTAGATGTAGGCTTGAATGCAACTTTCATGTTAATGATTTCTCCATTCGATATTCCACCCTGAAAAATCCAAAAACACAAAAATCTCTTTTATTAAAAACAATAACAAGTATCTCAAAGGGCATGCCCATATTACTACAATTAAATATAAATAGCACCTGAATACCACCAGATCGGTTAGTAGTTGTCCTGATTCGACCATGTTCATCCATATAAAATTCATCATTATGCTGACTACCAGTCATGAATGTCCCTGCATAAGGGACTTAAAGATTAGCATGCAAGAATAGGGCGTACTTTTTCTTTGTTTTCATAATTTTTTCAGTTCTACTGGCATCTAGGATTTCCAGCCAGAGACAACACTTAAAAGCTTAACGTCCAAAGTGGTGCATTCTTTTCAAGTATGTATGTACCTGCAAAACCACTGCCAAACTCAAATCCTTTTGTAGCGGGTAAGGACATGCAAGCTTTAGCTAGCTCAGCTTCAAGTTTGTCAAAGACAGGAGAACCAAGGCCCTGGTGAAAATAATATCAACTATTTTTAACCTAAGGTAAGATAAGATGCATGAATTCCTCTAAACAACACAGATATTTTATTCTTCCCAAAATGCAAAATTCATGTATGCATACACAACAAAGGCATTTATCTATACAAAAGAGACAAGACTGAAGGCAAGCTTACTCGTGGAGCATTTCTGACAATGCATGTAACAACCCCACCAACAGAATCACCCTTCACTCGAACAGCATCAATGGCAGCTATCATCTTTTCAGCATATTCAGGATTTGGGCAACGGACTATATTCCTTTCACTCTGGCATCAGTAAGATGAATAGGAATAAATAAGATAGAATATAAATTGAACAGCGACTATAATACCGAAATGCAATTTTATATCAAAGAAAATTATGTTTTTTATTTTTTAAAAATAGGCAATTGCACCTCACCATGTTAGGTAACACGCAAAATAGACATAATCATAACTGGTAGTTACCTCATCTAATGTGAGAGTCCGGTGGTCAACCAAATCATCAGGAAGTACAACCTTATGCACTTGAGAAACATATGCAATAATCTGGATCAAAAACAACTATTAAGTCAATGAAAAGGGATTCAATAGCAAATTAAAGTTTCCACAGCATAATATCAATGATGTCTGAACAATATGATCCAATTACAGTCAGCAATCTTGTTAAAAAATTCCGAGAAACAAATGGAATGAGCAAAACCATCGAAATCTGTCCCATTATACAGAGTTTCATACATTTTATTTTATATATCATTGCAGCTACCGAAAATATACTCCGTATTCATCAGCCTCTAAAGATTGATTGATGCACAAAAATCTCCAAGGCCACTTTCATATTTGAAAACAAAGGATGTCATATGTTTGTAGGATCAAAAAGGATCGATTCTTATCAATAGAAGGTCATATGCTTGTAAGGATAAAAGGAGTAACCAGAATATCAAAATAAAACAAGTAATGATAATGATTGGAAAAAATATGCTTATTCAAGTATCCCAAATTTATTCAAGGATTCTTCAGGCAAAAGTAGCACACCTCAGCACCACAAAACTGTTTGAGAATTTTCTTTGCAACTGCTCCAGCAGCAACTCTCCCAATGGTTTCTCTAGCCGATGACCTGCCACCGCCCTATATAGTCACCATGCATACGTTGACCAAAAAACAATATCAGTGCATATGCATTAAATTTATGAATTATTTGTTAAGCTCCAATCAATTAAAAATTTATTTCGTTCTATATGGCATTACCTGTACTGATCTCACCCCATATTTGAAGTCATAAGTAGCATCTGCATGTGAAGGACGATATGCAAGTGACATTTCACTATAGTCCTGAAATACATTATGTAGTATGAGAGCCAGTACTAGGGTACTAGACAGCATGAAAGTCAAGTCACACTCCAGGAAAAATGCTCCAAACGGAAATCATATATTAATAATGTACTTCCTTAAGCAATGAGCTAGAGGAATACATAATTACAGGTATACATTGTTGTTGCAATGAATGCCGAAACTCTGAAGTCAGAATTTCACATGTAGAACTCCAAATCCATTTCAAGTACACCTCTAACATCATGAGTCATGACTGCTATGGATATACCAGAAACAAGCAGCCGCTGAAAGTAATTTTATTTCCCCTTTTCATTCAATAATGATGCAGTATATATCCTTACATTTCCTCTCTGATCAGTGTTCGGAACTTCCACTTTAATTGGAGATCCAGTAGTTAACCCTACACTCAAAACACTAATAATCAATACAGTAAATTTTCATATGACAAACCGAAGTGCTAAAAGATGTAATTGACTTTTCAAAAAGGGATCTAACCATCAGCAATTCCAGATGATATTTTACATGTGTCGGTCTCTTTTCTAGGGGTTGTGATTCGGCTTTGACCTGGCCTCCTACATACACATTCACATGAAAAATTACAAGAGAGGTGTCAACGGTTATAGTATATCACTTCACACTTAAGGAAAGATGAATTAAAAATCATAAATAGTATGAAGTACCTTCTATCAAGCTCAACCTGCATATCAGATTCAGAAAGGGGAATCCGTGGAGGGCATCCATCAATAATGCAACCAACACCACCACCATGTGATTCTCCAAATGTTGTTACACGGAAAAAATTCCCATATGTACTGCCTGCCGCCTTTATCACTGTACAGTTCACAAGTAGGAATGTAGGATGCTTAACAGCTTGCATAATGACGGAGTTAAGTAGTGATGGGTGGTTTAAATTGACATCACTGGAAAACAACTGTTACTTATGTATATTTATATATATTATAGAATCGATGGTTTGTATTTATATCAATGAAAATAACAACGCATTTATAGACTCAAATATGCATGGGTATCATCCCTCCATTCCATACAGACGACTCATTGTTCACGCGTAAAAAATTTTATTTTTAGTAATTTACAACTACTATAAATTATCAAATATAGATATATTCTTAAAAAATGTTTTTGTTTTAACTAAATCTAACCTATTTAACTTGTGTGGTCCACTTTTTTAAAAATGAAATTCAGCTTCTTCTGTTCAAATTGAACTCTAGTTGTGGGGCAAAATTATGATTATGCACATGAATCTCGAAATTCGATGAGGAAGTACTCCGCAACAGATCTGGGCAATACATAATTCGTACCAAACATAAGCATGTAAATATGTAATCGTAATGAAACCAGAACAATTCATCCTTCAGAAAATGCACACACCATATTTAAGTAACACTCATATTTCATAGATTCCCAGTGGAATTGAAAAGTAGAAGGGAAAACAGAGTAAGAAATGAATAGTAAATACGCAGGGATGGAGCTAACCGAGACGTTTGGAGTGCTGCCGTCGAGCTGGGAGTTGGAGGCCGGAAGACGATAACCTGGACGGAGAACGGAGAGATCCGAGACGTGAGCATCCATCTGAAGATGGAGCACCTGCGAGGAATTGCTTTGGGGTTGAGAGAGAAGACGCCATTTCTTTGCCGTCTTTTTTGCCTCCCTCCTTTTTGCTTCGTGCCTGTTTGGTAACAACGTTAGAGTTCAGTGTTAGCTGCTTGTATCAAAGTTATTGGTTAACGTTTTGATTTTTTAGCATTTGAAAAACCAGAAACATGTAAACGCTACAAAAATTGCAGCCCTACAAAACAGCATGCCCCAAGAGCCGAAAAAACAAGGCCCTGGGTGTCCCCATAGGAAAACAGCTGCATCTTCCTAATTCAATCACTCATCCAGTTCCAAAAGTAGTAGAAGCAGCATTTCTATCAACAATCCTAAGGAACATTTCTATGTAGATAGCAAGTCATCTGAAACTATAGCTTAGTAGCCTGCTCCAATTCTTAAGCAAAATTCATCCAAAATGGAGTCCTATCAAATTAACCTACATTAACCTTAGTATTTGTCGGGCAGTAGATCGCAAAAATCAAAAGCTCCTGGGATTCCACCACTTACAATGATTACCAATTGATGGACAACAAACCAGTAAAAAAATCATAAACTAACATGTTAAACAAATCAATTTTAAAACAAACCACTCAAACAGATTAATTTCCAGAGAGCCAACTGGATCAAACGTAAATAAAATAAAAACAATACACAACAGCTACTCCGTATAAAACAATCTTCTGATTTGATTTTAGAAAAACAAAAAAAGAATTGAATTAATTACTCGAATCAGAATTTTCCATGGAGATGCAGTTAGGCGCCAGTATTAGTTACCTGCTAGATTTCCGATGGAATTCCGAAAATGCTCCAAAACGCCAATTTCGTCGTTGAACGCTGGGAAGGAGGAGCTTCTTGCGATTAGCCTCACCTGCCAAAGTCTGGGCACCGCTTTTGGATTAATTCTCTTTTTAGTGGGTTGGTTGTTGAGTCAAGCGGGTCGCTTGTTAAATGGTAGGTAAGACTGAGAGCGGGTTTGGTAAGGAAAAGCTAAAATTCTAAAAGACCATGTTTTTAATAACATTATTATTTTTCAAAGATTAAATAATAATTACTACGTATTAGCTTAACAGTTAAAACTACATGCCCCTAAATATTATTCTCTCCATTCTCAAAAATATTTTTTCTTTTAAATTTTTACTTCCAACAAAATATTTTCACTTTGTATTCAAAAATTACTTTTATCCTTACTTTTTGATACCATACGTATCACATCATACTTTTTCTCTAATAATTTATTTATCATATCTTACTCTTACATATAACATCAAGAGCAAAATTGGAAGTCAACTACAATTTAACATTTACTTATTTTTATAGTTAGTCAAACTAGGAACCTTTTTAAAGAACGAAGAGAGTACTTAAAATTTAATTTTAAATATTATTATTATTATTATTATTATTATTATTATTATTATTATTAGTCCGCATAATTATAGGACAGATGAAATATTATTATTACTATGTGATGTGTAATTTGTAACATGCAATATATTACTATGTAATATGAATAAAAAATATAATAGTTTTGTAAAATAGCATCCTTATTTTTAAACATTTCGTTATTTTAATGTAGAGTAATAATACATATTCTTAACTATATAAAGAGAAATTAATTATTCCATTTTCACATTGATTAAAAAAGCATTGGTACTCCGTATTAAAAAGATATTTAATATTTTAAAAAAAATATTTAAATATGTTAATGATTAGTTATTGTCAATGATTTTCTCATTTTACATTTTCTATGTATATATGAACTGTAATACTTTAAAATTATTAAATTTCTCATAATAATTATAAGTTTAATTTAAATCAAATTTAAATTCAATTAAACCAGATAAGATCAAATCTAATTAGATTCAATTAGATCAAATCGGATCCAATTAGATCAAATCTAATAAGACCAGATCAGATGTAATCAGATCAGATCATATTATTATCATAATTATTATTATTTGAATTCAAATTATTATTATTATTTTAACATTATTTATTTTTTAATAGTTTTCTGATTTGATCTAAATTATTCTATTTGATCTGATTTGAATGGATTTCATATTATCTGAATAAATATGATCTAATCTAATCTGAATGCATCTGATCTGAATGCAATCTGATCTAATCTAGTTCCAATAAAAATAAGCAATAAGTAGTAGAAATAAGTTGAAGAGAACGTGGCCTAATTCTTATTTGGAAGATGGTTGTAAGTTGTTGGCTGACTTGAACGTTTATTTGAGTTTGCTCTTTTGACTAATTAATTATATCAGGTGTTGATAAAATTTTTTTTGACAAACTCAGCTTCTCCAAAACAATTTTTACAAATTAAATTTTATTTAAAAAAATTATATGATATGATATAATATTTTTTGTAATATAATATAATTTATATACATATTATTTATTTATATGTGTTCCTTTTTTCTTCAAATAAAATTTTAACGTACGTACTATTCTAGTCACAATAGTTTTTATTTATTTATCTGTTTTATCGATCATTTTATAAAATAAAATAATCATTTCATCTTTTGTTTTGAAGACTTTTGATATTATTCTTATGTGTACCATTTTTTTCATTTCTACACCAATTCAAAAGTAAAGAAATTTCGAAAAATTATTTTCTCGTAAATCCCTACATGAATTTTACTTAGGGGAGGATTATTTATTTACTTGTTTTTATTTATTTATGGAATAAATAATTATTTTTGTTCATTCAAAAAAACGTATTGCCAAGTAGTGTCCCACATCAAAACTTGTAGAGAAAATAAATCAGTATATAAGCTCTTGAGGTTAACTAAGTAATCGATTGAAACCCACCCATCGATGTTGTGCATACTTTGAATCATTAATATAGACTTATCGTCGTGAAAAATTACTCACGAGGTGTTACCAAATCTCTCAAAATCACGTCTCTTTTATTTGATCTTTTGTGTGTTGCGATCAATCCTAACAATTTTGTGTCAATGTAAGCCATCAATCTCACACATATTCCTAAAATAATTCAATTAGCATAATAATATTTTCTCAAAAACTATATCACAGTTTACTATTCAAAAATCATACAAACTTTTTTTATTTATATATTTTATTCGATTCTTTGATAAAATAAAAAATTTGTCACCTCTTGTTTTAAAAAATTCTTGGCGTAACTTTGAAACATGTAACTATTTTTTATTTCTATACTAATCTTTATATAAAATGAATTAAAAAAAACTTAAAATTTTATTTCCTATTGTATAATGTGGCAAACATTTCGGGATTGTGGAGTAATAAACAAATTAAATTTCCATATTCTGATCTCAATAAATTTACACTTACCTTCAAAGTTCAAGAAAAACAATACAAAGTACATAGAATAATAGACAATCCGAGTATATGAATAAATTGAGCATATGATCAGAATATTTTATTAGAAACCGTAAATAATCAATTTAGAAAAAAAAATTGAATGGAGGAAGTAATACCATAATGTTTGTCGCATTACGTAAAATGAAGAATTTTTTTTTGTTTCAATTCATTTTATTTAAAGATTGATATACCAAAAAAAATAAAATTTATATATTTAACGTCAAAAATTATTTAAAATAAGTAGTGACAAAATATTTTATTATATCAAATAATCAATGAAAATTAAATATCGTTTTTAAAAGGGAAGAAAGGACTCTTAATACTCATTATAGAGCAGGAATTGTTGGGTCTACTAATGCAATAAATACCTACAAAATCAACGCCAACCGTACAAGTCTAAAATCTAAATGCATTTGCAATCACAAATAACTTTATTGACCAAGTTCAAGGAAGCTTATATTTTGAGAGAAAATTGTCCACATAACATTATGTCTAAAATAATTCAGTTAAAGTAAGAATATTTTAATAATAAACAAATGAAATCTCAATAAATTCACACACTTACCTTCAAAGTTCAAAAATAACAATACAAAGTGCATAGAATAATATACATAAATTCACAGAATAAAACTTCAAGAGATAAAAATAAAATCAAACTCAACAATAAGAAATTTGAAAGAAAATCTGACTATATGAACAAATAAATAAAGCTAAACTTATGAACCATCAAGAAACTAAATCATGCAAAACCTGCTATTATTATTATTACGGAATAAGGTAGTATAAGAAAAATGAATTGTGAATTTATGTTAAAAAAACAAAATAAAAGTAACTACTCCCTCCGTCCTAAAATTAATTTCTTATTTTGACTTTTGCAGTCAAACTTTTTAAACTTTGACCGTAGATTAAGGAAAAAATAAATTGAATTTTCATATAAATTTATTAGGAATAGATTCATTTTGGAATATAGTTTTGAAATATATAATTTTTATAAAATATATTTATATAAAAATTGAGATATTGATGGTCAAAGTGTCGCATTGGAGACCGTGAAAAGTCAAATGAGAAGTTAATTTTAGGACGGAGGGAGTATAATTTTTGTAGTGCTAAGAGGTCACGAGTTCGAAATGCCACCCAATTTTAAAAAAATTAAGGTTTCACGTGCAAGGCTCGGAAAAAAAATACGCCTGCACGTGAGGGGGCATGTTAGAATATAAGAAACAGTTTCTGGGCACAACCACAACCTTGAGCTTTTGGTTGAGTTGGTTCCTTGACGAAAATCTAAGAATTGGTTCCTTTAAACCCTTCCACTTTTGACTTTGGGCAAAAATAAGAAAAGTATAATTTTGGTTGACTTTCCAATTTTTCCCATGATGTGATGGATAAAATTAAGATGTAATGGATAGATTATTAGAGAAAAAGTATGATGTGATAGGTAGGGTATGAAAAAGTAAGGGTAAAAGTGGTTTTTTAATAGAAAGTGGAAGTGTTTTGGAAAATTCAAAAAAAACGAAAGGGAGAGGGTTTTGTGGAACGGAGGGACTATAACAATAGCAATAATATCTACACATACATATGCATGCTTGGCTCCACATACGCCATTCAAGGAGATCCATCGTGTGTCTCGATGAGTTCCGCAAATGGCATACAGGGAGCCAGGCATATACTGTATATAAATATATACACATTGTGTATGTATGAACTCATTTCCGAATCACACAAAAATTAAAAATTAAATAGAGCAAAACCAGAAGAATAATGTTTGTATTGATGATCAAATAGATCTTATATATTTGTATATATATAGATATACGGAGTATAAAACATAAGAAAAATGAAGAGAGAGGGAGAGAGAAAACCCACAAAAGAAGCATAGCCTAGCTTCTATATATTGCCACAATGAAATTGAAAAAAAGAGAGTCACAAGGTTGCAGTTTTTCTTTCTTTCTTTCTTTGTTGTGGAGAAAAAGGAGGGATGGGTGTGGGCTTGTGAGGTTGGGAATCAATTCAAGCACACATTATATATAAAGAGAGAAAAAGAATAAAAAGTTAGAGGAATGGGTGTGGTAGCTATATAAGCTATATGTATATATATATGCTCTCTCCGCTCTGGTTTTATTGGCACATACAGTTTCACTTCACAAATTTTGAAGAAAGAAAATTGATAATCCCTCCGTCCCATAAAGTCCTTCACGTTTCAAAAAAATCTTGTCCCTAAATGTCCTTCTCATTTCTATTAAAAATCACTTTTATCTCTTACTTTTTCATACCCTACTTATCACATCATACCTTTTTCTTAATAATCTACACATCACATCCTATTTTTACCAATTACATCAAGGGTATTTTTGGAAAGTCAACATAAAATTATCCCTCCTTATTGTACCACTTTAGTCAAACCGTCCCTATCTTTATGGGACGGAGGGAGTGTATATTTTTCATGTCCCACAAAATCCTTCTTGTTTATAATTATTTTTATGTGATTTAAGGAAGAGTTTATGTGATTTAAGGAAGAGATATTTTTTATTGACTTTTCCAAATTAAGTTTGATGTAATTTGTAAGAGAACAATGTGAT